ATTATTTTTGGGACGGACAAAAATTATAAACAAAACTATTGTATTGAGACGAAGGGAGTATATTTTATACTTTTACACAATTTTCTATACCATACATAAAAAAATCAATCTGTTAATGAAGCCTTTATTTACCTATAAAGAAAACATATCCCTTTCATCCCTTAACTATATGTCCCTTTGTTTTTTTGCACGAAGTTTGAATTATATATAAAGAAATTATACGTTTAATGATACATTTGTAATTTAAATAAAAATTAAGAATATTTTAATATTAATGTATAATTACTTTTATTAAAATAGAAAATAAATATTTTAAAATGAGATAAACAAAAATAATAAAAAGAATATTTTTAGTTGTCACGGAGAGAATATATTTTGTTTTGCTCTTTAGATTTCTTGTTCATAGAAAGAAATTATATATTCTCTCTGTTCGGCCACATATGATTTTTTTTTTTCTATTTTGTTCTTCACACAAAAGATGGTTTTTCTTTTTTCTTTTTTCTTTTTTTTTTTTGGAAAATTTATCAATTTTAAATACACTTAATAAATATAAATCAATTCAATCATATTTCTAACCTTTTACGAGTAGGACCCACTCAAACTCTTTTTATTTCTATATCTCTCCTTAATTAATAAATATTTTCATCTACTTTTAAAGCTCTCTATTATTTTTACAATTTAATTTTATACAAAATTCACAATATTCATATTGTATATATTTTATTAAAATATAATAATTAAAATATTTAAAATATCAACAAATCTATTTATTAAAAAATAATAAAATAATATTATAATTTATTATTAGTAATTTTTTAATTTTCGTTACCTAAAATATTCGTGTTCCTAACCAAACAAGCCATGACTCGCAGGGAACAAGGGAGTATATTTTTTCTTTTCTCAAAACACCGGTAAAAATAAAAATAAAAATAATAATAATAATAATAATAATAAATTAATTTTGAATTTTTTTTAGAACACTTTCCTAGTGACTCTTCCGAGCTCCTGGGACCTCAACACCTGATCGACGGTGCAGTTTGTGGGCTATGTGTTCGCCTTCTGGGCCATAGCGTTGAAGTCCATGGAGCTGCAGAGAATCACTTCTGTACATAGCAGTGGTCCATCAAAATTTATAACGGAGTTAGCGTTGTGCTATATATTAATTGGATCTGATTTTTCTATATTAATATATTTTTTTAAAAAAAATAATTATAAATTTATAAGAGTATATTTTAAATTTTTTAAAAAATTAATCATTCAACACATTTTATATCAAATCTATGATACTGACAATAGTCCGTAAGGGATGACCTGATGATGGTGTAAGAATTGGATTTGTAACCATAAGATCATGGGTTCAATTAACATATAAAATTTTATATTTAAATTATTACTAAAAAAACAAATTAAATTTTGAAAGAACACGCTCTTGTTTGAATGCTTATGAATCTGACTTTGAAATTTATTAATAAAAACATTAATATAAGTTTAATGTGATTTAGATATATATTTCTAATGAATTTTTTTTAAATATATATTTAATTTCATAATTTTTCAAGAGGAAAAAAAATACTCCCTCGGTCCCAGATGCTACACTGTAGACAAGGTATTTTGAGGTGTAATTAGTAGATAATTAAGAATGTATTAGTAAAAATAATTATTCTATAATATAAATAATTATAAATTAAAATTAAGATAACTAATTAGTTTAATTAAAATTAAAAAAAAATTAAAATTTAAAAATTTAAAATGAGATTAAAATGTGTAATCATTTTCCAAAAAAGGAAAATGACATAGTATGTGGGACGAACATAAACGGCGATGTGGATATGATATGTGGGAATAAATGGTGGAATTCCAACTAAAAATCAACTATCTTTTTCTCTATATATATATATATATAAATTATTTATTTATTTATTTATTTTATTATTACGAGTGATGTGAACTTGTTAGTGCCTCTTCTTTCTTGTACACATTCTCTCTTTCAATGCTTGCTACCCCCACACCACCTACCCACCCATTTTACTTTAAATTATTATATTTAAAATTGATGATATATATACACAAAAATAATTTATTTTTTTTAAAAAAAAAAACATTAGGTTGGATTTTGCGATATAGGATGACCAAAAATAATAAATAGACCCATTTTATTTTACCTAAATTCTCGTATCTACAGTAATAGGCCTATAATATATGAGACGGATGGAGTATATTAGATGTGGATTCTTACAATCCACATTATTATACTTTCATCCGTCCCAAAATTATAGACTGGGTTGTGTTTGACACATTATTTAAGAAATATTAATATTATATTGGTAGTGAGTAAAAAGTACGGATAAAAGACTTTTTTGCCCTTGTGAGTGAATTAATCTAAAAAGTAGTGACAATTGTGTAATAATAATGAAAAAGTAAGGGTAGTTTTATAGCGATATGATTATTTATGGAAATGATACTATTATTTTGGGACGGAGAAAAATAGTAAACAAGACTATTGTATCGGGACGGATGGAGTATTAAAATTTAATTTTATATTTAAAATATTATTTATATTATATTATACAACTATTTTATTTTAAAATTTTTACTATTTAAATTCAAAATTCAAAATTCAAAATTAAAAAAATAAATAAAAAAATACACACACACACTTATACTTTATCTGGCTATTAAACTGACATCTTTATTATATTAGTCTCGTAACAAGAGTTTCTATTAAAATAGTTTCGTATCTAAAATTTTTTTTTGCACATCTAGTCATTTGACGCGGGAGATGTCTGTGTGGCATCTATGTGTCACGTCGAAGGATACGTGTCAGTCAAATAAGCACCACCGGTGGACATGTGAAAAATTATTATTATTTTTTTTTAAAATGATATATTTTGACGTTTTTGTATTTTTAAAAATAAATTTATTTTTCATGTATATGTCATGTCATATGACGCTTACCTCGTGAACACATATTACCCATGTCATGCATACATTTTACAAGTAAGATCAAATGTGACAAAAAAAATTTTACTTACAAAACTATTTTTATGTACATTTCAACTAGAAGAATAAAATAAAAAATAATAATAATTACAAGACTAAAAAAATAATTTATCTTATAAAATATTTCCTCCCTCTACTTTACATTTATTTTTTGTTTGAATATAAATATAGGCATTCATAAAATGAAATTGGGCCTTACGGTATTTTTAGACCCAACAAAGTGTGACTATTGAAAACTTAGGGGATTTGTTTGATTTTGGTTTGAATTTAAATATTTTATTTAAATATTATTGTGATATAATTGTGAAATAAAATAATACTATCTAGATCTCTTCTATTCATTTTAATAATTTATTTATTTATTTTATTTTATCTGTCTCATAACAACAAAGTATCAATTTCTTTTTTTTAATAATTGTATTATTTACCTAACATTACAAATATCCTTTCAATTTACAATATATTACACAAATGTCATTACCTTTATATCATACAATACTAATAGGGTTAATTTAGTCTTTTTACATTTATTTCTACTTTATCCCAATATAATACTAATATTTCTAAAATTCTGTGCAAAAAACAAATAGATATATAGATATGGGACGGAAGGAGTATAATTTTATTACTAATAAGACCGATTGAATAATGATTTTGATACAAATATATGTTGAGCTTTTTTTTGCTTAATTTTGGCATGTTTTGAAAATAGTTTATTTTGGAATTAAAATATTCCTTCCTTCCGTCTTATTTCAAAAAACCTTTGAAATTTTGTAGGAGAGTAATAAATAATATTATATTTGTCCCTTAACAATATATTTATTTTTTCTATTGCTTTGTCCGTAACAAAGTATACATTTAGGTAGTGTAGGTTATTAAGTTATTAATAATAAGATATTATAATATTTTATTACTCCTTCTGTCCAAGTAATAAGTATACATTTACTTTTGGCGCGGAGTTTAAGAAATAATAATATTTTAATTATAGTGAGTATGTAAAAGTAGTGTAATGATATATTTGCCCTTACTTTTTGGTATAAAAATAATGATGTGATGTAAAGTAAGGGTATTTGTGGAAAAAAATGAGGTATTTAATGAAATGGTTACTTTGTAATTGGACGTACAAAAATAGAAATATGTATATTTTTTAGCTAGACGGATGGAGTATTTTTTATATGTGTAGTATTATTGGCATTTTAAATATTTTTAGAATTATATCTCAATAAAATATATGGAATATGAATATCATTTTGTAGACAATAAAATTTTATATAATACAAATGAATAAAAAAAATATAGTTATTTATTTATCATTATCATAAATTAGTTTTATAAAAAATGAGGAGTTTTAAAGGTAGATAGAAATATTTGTTAATTGAAGAGAGATAGAAATAGAGAGGTTTTAAGTGGGTCCTACTGTAAGATGATAGAAATTTAATTAAATTGATTTATATTTGTTAAGTATGTTTAAGATCGATAAACTTACCAAAAATGAAAAAGGGTCATCTTGTGGGACGTATAAAAAATGAAATGGGATCATCTGTAGCGGGACGGAGGGAGTATTACACATATCATTTATTATTTTATTACATTTATATCACACAATACTATTATTTTAATTTTTTTATACCTTATTCATACTGTACTCCAATATAATACTAATATTCTTAAAACTCAGTACAAAATACAAACACATACATAAATAAAGAGACTGAGTCAGTAATATTTTATTGATTATTAAAAACGTCTAAAAAATTTTAATATTTTTACTTTTAGTTCACTTTGAAGTAAGATAACAAAAATAGTAAAAAATTTACTTTTAAGTCAGAACAAAAAGGGACTAAATATCAATTTTATATTAAAAAATCATATTATCACATATTTATATCAAATCATAAAATTATTGAAATTCAATATTTTAACCATTCAAATCTCGAGCCCAAAATTCAAAGCCCAAACAAACTCCCAAAGAGTTCCGTACATGGTCCAAATCCAGACAATAGAAGAAATAGCAGCAGTTCGTTCATCAGCTTCTCGTCAAAACATTACAAGTACGATGTCGATGATGATAGAATCACACCAACATGCCCTGTAAAAAAATACATACATATATATATACACACAAATCAATATTACTTCTACTCCCACATGAAACTCAGAGTTTGATGGGGCCCACTCGACGTTGCCGTCGCCGGCCCTTCCGGCTCGAACATTTCCGACAAGCTCAGGCCATTTCCGCTGCCGGAGCTGCCACCGGAGCCAAAGGGGGCCTTGCTTTTTCCGGCCGCCGGATTCTGACAAATGTCGCCGTGGCTGAACTGCAAGTTGAGGTGAGCCATGGGGGCCGGGAGCAGGGCGTCGTCATTATTACAGAATTCCGACGAGGATGATGGTGGCGCCGATGACAGAAGAGAGAGAGCACGGTTAGAGCAACTTCCCGACGTCGACGACGACGACGTAACGTTCGGCTCGAGACGGACGGCGGCATCGCCGCCTTGAATGAATCGAAATTGCGACGAGCATTCCGGGAACGCGCTCGATCGGCCGTCGAAGTAATTCATGTGCTGACCGTAGCTGTGGCTGAACGGCGTGATATCGTGCTCGGTTTTCACGATCGGTGACGGCCAAGTGGGCCCCGCGACGGGGGCCGGGAGCATGTGAGGATTGGCGAAGGACAGGAGCTGCACCGCCGCGCCGGTGGTGGATTGGCGGCCGGAGAAAATAAGTCCCGAGTTTCGGGAGACGGCGGTGTCGGGCTGCGGCTTCCTCCGCCGCCGGTTGTGCCCGTCGAGTCGTTTCCGGCAGCTTCGCTTCTCGTCGTCGAATTCTACGAGAGAATGGAACCTACAAAACCGAAACAAAGTGATCAAATTAAATATTTATTTTCATTTAATATATTGCATATCATATCGAGCATATATTTATATCACATTAACTGCTATTTCAATTCAAAATTTTACTATTTTTAGATCGGACTCGAATTCAAACCTTAAAGAACACACCAAATCGATTCTATTTTTCATTTAATATATCAAACAACTATTTATGTAACATAAAATATTATTTTCAAACTTGGCTCAAATTCAAACCTAAGGTAACACACCGAATCACACTCATTTTTTATGACAAGAACTTGATTACGGTCAAATCAAATATCTATTTTTTATTGAAGATATCGAATATTTATTTATATCACATCAAATTTCTAATCCAAATTCAAACCTTAAAGGAACACACCGAATCGATACTCGTTTTACCTATTGCATATTCATTTTTCTAACAAGAACTCGATCACTGTAAATTAGACATCTATTTTTCATTTAATATATCAAACATCTATTTATGTTACATTAAGCATTTTTTCAATTCAAAATCTTACTATTTCCAAACCTCTTGCCCAAATCCAAACCTCAAAGAACACCCCGAATCATACTCATTTTTCCAACAAGAACTCGATTATCGTCGAATCAAAAATATATTTTTCATTTAATACATCGAACATCTATTTATATCACATCAAACTTCTGATCTAAATTCAAATCGTTTTACCTGCTGCATTGTTGGCAGAATCGCTGCTCTCGGCCGGCAATCGCGACCTTAGGCGTCTTCGAGTGAATTTCACAGACTTTATGACGCCGGTGATATTCTCGACACAAGCTCAAATCGGCATTACATCCGTCGACCAAGCAATGAGCAACTTGAGCCATGCTCGCCGGAGCTTTAGCCCTTTTCGAAGATCCCAAAAACGACGAATGTTCCATCAAAACAACGAGTAGTAAATCCAAATCACCGATCCCCCCAACTCTTTTTCAAGCCTATAAAACAGTTAACTTCACTTCAATCCGCTCCCGAAAATCGACAATCTACTTTAATCTTCGACACTTGGCAATGTTTCACTACCTGTTGTCAAGATTACATGTAAGATGTAATAAGTGAAAATGGATTGAGCTTCGGATCTAAACGAACGAACACGAGCCGAGTCGAGGCAAAATTAGTAATAAATAACATCACAATCTACAGCTCAAATAAGCAATGAATTGAATAACATGTTTCATGCAATTTCAAGATTTTCTCAAAGATTCAAACTTCATCTTTCAAACACAAATTAAAATTCTGCAATCAATATTTATGAAAGAAGACAGATTCAACAAAGATGAATTTATGAACACAAGCTGGATTTCAAACAACAGTAAGTCAACACAAGTAAGAGAATCTTCAGAAATCACAAAATCAATGGTTTGATTGAAGGATAAATTCACCAGAACATGCCATTCAAGGAAATCTATCATCAAAGAAGGTCAACCAAGCCCAGACACCACAAATAAAAAAATATTTTTAAAAAATAAAATAAAATAAAGAAGATCTAACAACATATTCATCAAGATCATACATTTCCTCTTCTGAAGAGCTGAGCTACACAGAAGTGTGAGAAACATTCAGATTCCTTTCATGACAGAGAAAAAAAGGATCAGAGGGAAAGAGAAGTGGGGAAAATCAAAAAGCCACAGTTACTTATGCCCATCAAATGTTCAATAGCATAGAACAGTTTGGCAAAAAATAAACAATAAAAATCCAAAATAATACAATACCTATTTCAGAAAATTAATTAAAAAAAATTATTAAAAATGTACAAATGGAGCAAAGCAGTCACAGGATGAAAAGGCAAAACATCAATTGGTAATTGTGAATAAATAAATAGTCTTGTAGAGAGTTGAAACACTTCTCTTTTTTAACTTTCTTTTCTGGCAAAGGATCAACAAGTGACCAAAACTGATTTTAAAAAAAAAAAACATAGCAAAGTTTAAAGGGACCCAAAAGGGAATAGAGTTGGGGATGTGTACCTCATAACTCAACCAAACAGGCTGCCAAAAGCATTAACTATCAAAGAAAGTGAAATGGCCAGAAACAAGAAAAACACCACAATGCATCATAATATATCATTCATAGCAATGAAAGCTCAAAGCCCAATTTAAAAAGCTAAGTAAAAATGAAACAGTAAAAATATCAAATTAAATATTAATTTTTTATTTTTTAAAATTTTTAAAATTTTCAAAAAATTTCAATATTCTTATCTAAGCAAAGCTTGGGCTCTATTATTTTGTTCTACTAATAAAATATCAAATCAAATAATTTTAGAATTTTTGACACTGTTTATTTATAATATATTTTTTGTTTTACAGATTATCATATAAATATTAATTTTTTTTACAAATTTTAAAAAAATTTCAAAATTTCAAAACTTCTGCCTAGAAGCTAAATTTTCTAAGGGTGTGTTTGTTTGGGGGTTTGGATTTTGAGTTGAGATTTGAATAGTAAAAATTTTGAATTTAAATAATCTTATGATGTGATATAAATAGGTATTAATGTGATCTTTTGAATAAAAAATTGATATTTAAGTATGATATAAAAAATAAAAAATAAATATTTGATTTGATATTTTTTTTAAAAAAAATAAAATAAATAGTGAAAATTAAATCTAATCCCAAAGAGAAACACACCCTAAATTTTTACTGTATATAAATAAAAACCAAACTTAAAAAAATATAGATGGCAAAAACAAAAACAGCAGACTTACTTACTGATAAATGTAAAAGCAGAAAGACTGACTTAGAAGCCTTCCCAGCCACTCATTCTCTGACAAAGACTCCAGTATTGATGATGGATGGTAAAGTGGAAACCAATTAAAGCTAGATAAGAACACTGTTCATTCTGTGTGTGTTTTTCCTAGAGAGAGAAACAGATTAATAGCAGTAGTCAGTAGATATAATAACTCTAGGATTAGGTGGGAAGATTGAAAATTAAGCATAAATGAAACAAGAACTAAGTGGAAAATTTAACAATGGATGAATTGGGCAAAAAGAAAGATGCTTTTAGGGGGCTTATGTTCAAATGGGGAACTTTTTTTTCTTTGCGGCAAAAGGTCGAACACCTTGTCATCACCTCATCGAACCACCACAAAAATAAATAAATTAATAAATAAATAATGCAATTTAATTCAAATTCACTGTTCGTCCACGCAAAGATTGATTGCATCTGTCCCTCGCAAATCAAGCAAGAATCCAACAGGTAAAGTTCAAAACAATAATGATAATAATGTGTGAAATTTTTTGCAGGGTTTAATAATATGTGGGAATTGTCAGTCAATTCATGAATAAAAGTGATTAAAGAAAGAAATTGGATTAAGGGCAGCCATGTTCGAGTTTACCCAATTCTTGACTTTCCTTTTTCTGCAAGTGATTAAAAAAATGGGTTAAAGACTGGTAAAAAAAGCATATTTATGAGAAATGATGAATTTAAAAATGATAAATGTAAGATTGATATTTGGAAAGGAGTGGCGCAGAAAGGGACAGCGTGTCCCCAACCCTAGCCCCCTTTTCTTTACTTTCTGTCCTTCAAGAACAACGTGTACTTTTTCTATCTGTCTATACATATATAAAATATATATATATATATTCCCTCCGATTCATAATTATAATCTGAATTTTGTTTACTATAGTATTTAAAAAATATTAATATTATATTAATCGTGGTAAAAAGTATAGATAAAATATTTTTTTTTTGTAAAAAATAATGACAATTATATAATAATAATAAAAAAGTAAGAGTAATTTTATAATTATATGATTATTTATAAAAATAAGATTATGTATAAAAATAAGATTATTATTTTGAGACAGATAAAAATGGTAAATAAAACTATTATATTTGAACAAAAGGAGTACTATTTATGTCTGACTCGAAAAGTATTATTCCCTTCGTCTCACCTACTATGTCCATATTGTCATTTCTGTCATATCCACATTTCATGTTATTTTTTATTTTTTTTGAAAAATTATTAAACATCTTAATTTCATTTTAAATTTTATAAATTAGTCATTTTAATCTTAATCTATAATGATTTATATTATAAGTTAATTATTTTCGCTAATACATTCTTAATTATCTACTAATTATATTTATCCAAAATTATCGTATTTACAGTAATCAAGACACCCAATGTGGGACGGATATAGTATTTAATTTTTCCATTTGTGTGCTGATTTTTTAATATTAATTAATATATGAAAACATAATATAAATTAAGGAAAAAAAAAATATTTGTATTAGTGTCTTATAATACTATTGTAATAACATCGATGCAGAAAATTAACTTTATTAATATTGTACTCCATCCGTCCCATCTACCATGTTCATGTTGCCGTTTCTGCGTCTCACATCTCATGTCACTTTTCTATTTTTGAAAATGATTAAACATCTTAATTACATTTTAAATTTTCTAATTTTTTTTTTATTTTAATTAAACTAATTAGTTATTTTAATTTTAATCTATAATAATTTATACTATATGTTAATTATTTTTACTAATACATTCTTAATCATTTACTAATTATATTTATTCTGAATTCTCGTGTCTACTGTAACCAAGACACCTAATGTGGGACTGGAGAAGTATATTAGTATATAGGTAATGACATTTGAGTAATATATTATAAATTAAAAAGACATTTGTAATGTTAGGTAGATAATACCGTTATTTAAAAAAATAGATATTTTGTTATAAATGGATCAAAATAAAAAAATACATAATTTCCTTTAAAGCTGATATTTTTTTCTTACATATTTATCTCACAACAATTTACATTTTTTATTTGTCTGATTCATAATAATTGAGATCTTTTTAATTTGAGTAAAACTTATTAAATCAAATATATTTAGTAAATATAAATTAATTTAATTAACTATATATATAACATCGTAAATTATGATCGACTCAAAATATTTTTATTTATATCTTTATGCTAAATAATTTTTTTTATCTATATTTAAAATTTCAATTAGTTTATTTTAATTATAAATAAATAAGCATATTTTTTTATTTATTTGTATTAAATATATTTTATTATCTACCAATATTCATATTGTATATGTTTTTTATTGCTATATAATTTTAAAAATATTTAAATACATATTCTAATTTTTTAATAATATGTATTAAAGTTATTTTTAAATTACAATATTATTAATTGTATGAAAAATACTCACTCCGTCCCATCTACCGTGTCCATCTTTCCATTATTGTTTGTTCCACCTATTTTGTCACTTTTATTCTCGAAAAAGAATTATACACTTTAATTTCATTTAAATTTTTTTTTTTTAATTTTAATTATTTTAGTCATCTTAATTTAAAATTAATTTTATTATACGATAATTATTTTTACTAATATATTCTTATTTACTTATTAATATACTTCTTCTAAATTTCCGTATTTACAGTAAATAAAATACCGTAGTCGGAACAGAAAAAGTAGCAAAATAATATTTTATCTCAATATTATTAATTGATTATACATTATTTTCTTAAACATTGTATCACTAATTAAAAAATATCAATTATCTTAGAATAGAGAAAATATTACTTCCTCCGGTCTCACTTATACTGTTTACTTTAGGTTAGGGACGGAGTTTAGGTATTGGATATTAGTAAATAATTAAAAATTGTATTAATAAAAATAATTATATTTTAATAAAAATAATTATAAATTAAAATTAAGATGATTAAATAATTTAATTAAAATTTAAAAAAATTATTAATTATGAATTATAAAATATGATTAAAATATATAATTATATTTTAAAAAAATGACAAATTATGTCGGACTAACAAAAGAAATAGACAAATTAAGTGGAATATGGGTGTGTTCATTTGGGATAAATCCCCAAAATTTTACTATTCATTTATTTTTTTTCTTCTAAAAATATCAAATTAAACACTTATTTTTTATTTTTTATATTATACTAATATTTAATTTTACATTCAAAACATCAATTCAATACCTATTTCTATCACATCTTACAACTATTAGAATTCAAATTTTTTACTATTCAAATCTCATCTCAAAATTCAAATTTCAAACAAACACACCCATAGAATATTTATTGCTGACGTGGGATTTCCCGAGTGGGAAGAAACCCAGTGAGGTGGTCTAAGTGCAAAAAATGTTAACATTTTTTTTTTTTCCAATTGTTTAATTTCAACCAACTCGTATTAAAAGAGGTGAATCGTTTATTTTTATAAGTATGATGTATGAATATATTTATTATGTTAAAATATTAATAATAATATTTATTATATGTTATCAGTTTTTATATTATATTTTTATTAATATAATTTATGTATTATTTATTATTATATATAGTAGTATAAGCAATTTGCTCAGTAACACAGATCATCAATATATAATACTCTCTTCGTTTCAGATATTTTGTCCGCGTTACTGTAAACACGAGAATCTAGGAGTGGTATAATTAGTAAATAGTTAAAAATATATTAGTGAAAATAATTATCGTATAATAAAAATAATTATAGATTATGATTAAGATAATTGATTAGTATAATTAAAATTAAAAAAAATTATAAATTAAATTTTTTAAAACAAGATTAAAATTTATAATTATTTTATTTTAAAAAAAATGACAAAATAAGTGGAACAAACAAAAATGAAGAGATTAATATGAGAAGTGAGATGGGAGTAATAATAATAAATAAATAAATAAATAATCATGTGTTGCATATTGGTGCCTTCAAAATATACTCCCTCCGTCCCATGTAATATGGGTCTATTACGGTAGACACGAAAATTTAGGTAAAATATAATTAGTAAGTAATTAAGAAATGTATTAGTAAAAATAATTATTATTTATTAAAAATAATTATAGATTAAGATTAAAATAACTAAATAGTTTAATTAAAATTAAAAAAAATTAAATTTTATATTTTAAAATATGATTAAGGTGTATAATTAATTTTCCAAAAAAAAAAAGATAAATTATGTAGAACGGACGAAAATAGAAAATAGGAACAAATTATGTAGGACGGACGGAATATTTGAGTATAATATAAAAAATAATAATAAAAAAATGAGATAAATATAATAGGAGTATATTTTTATTCAAAAAATTGTAGATGTACTCGAAACTAGAATTAAAAAATAAAAAAAATGGGTTTCAAGTTCCAATACTATACAAAAAAGCTTATATTTATAATTCCGATACCTAAAAAGGAAATAAAGATTTGATTCCCTTTGCTTAATGTTTGGTTTTATTTGAATTTGTTATTTTAATATAAATAATATTTTGGTATAATATTATATAAAAAATACTCCCTTAGTCTGTTAAGTAAATACTCATTTATTTATTTTTTTATGGAGTTTGACTATATTAATATTATATTGAAATAAATATAATGATATTTGTGTAATATCTTGTAAATTGTAAAAATATTTGTAATGTTAGATATATAGGATAAATGCTAAAAACGGAAATAAATATTTTGGTACGAGACGGATTAAAATAAAAAATTAAATAATTTGTTAAAAAATGGAGGATTTTTTGGTATTATATTTGGTCTCTTTTATCATTTCAGTATAATAATTGGAGCTTATATATATTTGGTCTCCCAATCGCAAAATTTTAGCAAAAATAGTCATTTGCTACCGAAGTTGATAGTCCGTCAATAGTAAGTGATTTTTTTAAAAAAATGAAAAATAAAAAATCAACTTGGCATTGATATAGGTTAACAAATGATGTGAGACAGACAAAAAAATATAAAGAGCAAATAAATTAAGTGAGACGAAGGGAGCAGGAATGTCAATGGGCGGGTTCATGACGGGTTCTGAAGGCCCCGAGATCCGCCCTGCTAGAAAATATTAAGCTCCGAGACCCGCCCAGCCCCGCTTCCACCCGCCCCCAGGACCCGCCTCGCCCCGAACCCTCCGCCAACCCGGCAAACCCATTTTTTTAAAAAATATATAATAATAAATATTTTTTTAACAATCGAATACTAAAATAAATAGCATTAAAAACACAAAAAAAATCTAAAAACAATCAAATATTGATCCATAAAAATAAGATAAATAAATAAATAATATATTTTTATTATATAAATATACATATATTAGGTATAATAATTTTAAAAAATTATTTGAAGCAGTCGACTAATTGAATTTTATATTTAAGATTATTTAAGTAAATAAATAATATATTTTATTATATAAATGTACATATATATTAGTTATAATAATTTTAAAAAATATCTGGGTTCGAGTACGGG